ACTGCTCTACAGCCCTCTAATGGAGAAAATGTCAGGCATGTTCAAGAAAATGAAATGGAATTAACGCCTAACAAAGAAATTTGCCCTGGAGGAGGCAGCTCTGAAAGCATATATTCAATTAAGAGCAGACAGATATTTTCCTGCAGTTGAAGCAACTTTGATTTAGTCATTTATTTATTTTGAGCAGAAGGTCATGAGTTCTCTTTTTAGTGAGACTGGGGGAGGGAAGGGGGAGCGGGGTAGCGTGGAGGGTTACTTGAATGAGCTTAGAGGAATGAAGGCAGGTGAAACCTCCCAGCGACTTTGGACTCAGCATCTCCAGTCCCTGCATGCTCGGGGCAGCGATTGCTACCAAGACCATCAGTGCTTTTTCCTGGGGTCGCTGAGAGCCAGGCTCGCCATAGCTGTGGGCAGCAGTGATACGTGGCCAGTTAGTGGCCTTCGATACTTAGTGCTATTCTCTGAAAACATCATTACACTTATATTAATACAGTAATATTTGATTATCCCCTAATACAATACCCCTAACAAATACAGTGGTCTCATATGTCACAAACATACTTACTAAACCCTGCCTGGCTAGGTGGATGTGTTTTGGCTTACTTCCGCTCCTTTCTCCCTGGCAAATCCTAAAACAGTCTGAATAACAAGCTGCTCTAGCTCACCAGTATTTCTCATTAAGGGACTGTGTTTTGGGTTCTTTCCTGGCATTTTTCAGGACAAGTCTAAGAAAAGTTTAGGGGACTGTGAAACAACCTGGCCTTCAAGCTGCTGGGGATACCTTTCTAGGATGCCTTTTACTTTTTTCTCCGCTGTCTTCTGGTAAGCTTAAGCATCTGGAAGAAGTAGGAATTCATTCAAGATAACAACAAGGAAAAGTAATGGTATTTCTCCAACACTGTAGGAATACGTCCTCTCTGGATCCCACGGACGTTCACATTGTAACATTAGCCAAAGATGTCTCTCATTTTTAAATAGTCAGGAGATTCTTTCTGTAAGCTGAGGCTTTACTCATAAAGAGGTATGCTTCTTTTTTGGGGAAAAAAAAAAACCATCCTACACTCAGGATTAAAGGAGGAAACCATATAAAGATTACCTTTATTTCCTCAACTAATCTGAACAAGCTGGATTACCCATGCAAGCACACCGAAAAAATGTAGTAGTTCACAGTCCAGCTTTGGCATGTCTTCAAGGCATTTATTTAAAGCTTCTTGACCTTTAAGCAGGTGCCGGCCAGGTCATCTTTCAGACTATGGATTTCAAAGAATCATTATGAGCCACAATTAGCAGAAGAGACCGAGAGTGACGTTGTTTTACAGACTAGAACCAGTATTTTTGGGGATGCTTGCCATCTCCAAAGATCAGTGCGGCCTGGCTGCCATGAGGGGGAAAAAAATACCTGTTTGTGTGGATGTTCCCTCCTTCTGCTCTCATCAAACACTGAAAAAGTCCATTTAAAAGTATTGAAGAAACTAGAATGAAGTCCCTGGTGCCTAGATCTGTAGTTAGAGGGGCATTACAGCCTAATGTGATCCTATCAGATTGCAGAATTTGTTTTTTTAAAACATTAGAAGACCGATGAACCCTGAAGGGACTGAAAGGAGGATGGAGAGGATGAAACTACCTGGATGTGCTCTGCTGCAGGTTTAAAGCTCCAAGTCCCAGAGCTCGGCACACACAGCACATCTGTTTAACATCCCTGCTGCTTCTGGGATTCACCCTGAGACTTACTCCAGCACCGCGCTCCACAGCACGGCCCCCCTGTGCTCGCATTAGGCTTCTCTTAACGGTCAGAGGGAAACAACAGAAGTTCCCCTTTTCCTTTACAGCTCTTCTACTTTCAGCCTAATGAAGGTGGAATATAAAATGTTGAAGGAAAAAGCAGTTTTCCCTTACAGAATTTCCTTTTCAGTTATTTTTAATCTGACAGCTGTTTTAACATGCACTCATACACTACATTTATTTTAATTTTTTCCATCCCTTGTGTTTTATTATTTACCTCCTGTTCCAAAGAGATCACAAAAGATTACATTTCTGTGAAGCAATAACAGTGGTGGCGATCATCTCTCTCACGTTTCACAGCTTCCCTTTTTACCCCTCTGGCTTTTGTTTATCTATCTACCTCGCACCATCACTAACTTTCCAGATGCTACAACCGCTATCAGATGGGGTGATCACATCTACGTGTTTAGAGCTGGACAGGTTTGTGCCAACCTGAATACAAAGCACTCCTTGCTCCGAGCCCGAATATTCATTCTTTGCTCTCGTTCAGTTCAGGCCCTTAAATAAGTTAGAGCAAGAAATCATACCCTA